ATGGGCTATCAGTGTCAGGTTGCACTGATAGCCAGTGTGCGGTTTAATTCTACCCTAACAGAACTAGCTGCACTACAACTAATTATCTGTACATTTAATATAGTCCGGAGTAGCTGTATAAATGCGTACGTATATAAGTTTATAAAATGCATATAAAGCGTGTATACACTAGATCATTTTGCATTGAATTATAGAGACAAATGATATCACTAATGTTAAAGAAATGGCCTATATATTTAATCCTGAATTATACACTTTCCAAAATCTCATTAGTGCTTCAAGTTTTCCGACTGAATGTAGACAGTATACATGACTATGCATAATAACATTAACGATAATGCTATTGTCATACTGCCACCATTCCTATTAATAGTATTAGTTTGTCTATTTACTAACAGAGTAATGTAATTCTTCCATCACAGGCGTAGAGTAAGGTAATATGTTAGCCCTTTTTAATCTCCAGAAATACTAACGTATTTCTGGAGATTAAAAATATATATATAAATATATATATATATATTATATATATATATATATATATATATTATATATATATATATATATATATATATATATATATATATATATATATATATATATATATATATATATATATATATATAATATAAAAACTCTAAAGGTGACAGAATAAAATAATATGGCTGCTCTTTTTATATATATAATGGCTTTTAATAATAAATGAAGAGGAAAGCTTTATATATGAATAGGAAATGGGTACTTGTGTGTCGAGACCTGTCAGCAGAGGCTACGACTGTGTAATTGATCCTCTACATTTATAGCTACGAGAGCATTAACACTTTCATAGGATCATGATAATGGAGGTAACTGCAGAAGACACTCTGGCCCATGCGGGACAGCTCTTGTTTATAAGCGTAGCGTAGGTTAGACATATATATACGACAGCCAAGCTGTCGTACATATATGTCTAACCTACGCTTGAAACAATCCATCAGTCCCACGACTCTGTTATTACCCGGTAATTTGTTCAACTAATCAGCAAACTTATTTCCAAACCAGTACTTACCAAAGGCTTTTCTGACACTAAAATGATCCAATTTGCATGTATTATTTTGTATTCTTTTTTGCGTTAATTTAATTATTGTCTTGGTACTGTAAAAAAAAAGTCCACTACGGGCTCACTATAGCCCGTGCTACTTGGAACTTTTGTTCCGAGTAGCTGAATCTTAAACAACAACAACATGGTGCTGTGTTACGAACCCGATTCCATCGTCGGAGCTTGGAGCAGCGACATCAATGCCATCTGTGAGTCCACTCCCGAAACCCCCACAACATGGACGACGCCATCTAGTGGTGGCAGAAAGACACCAGCAAGAGGCGTTAGATTCCTGTCCTAGTTAGCTCGAGAGGTAGCTGGTGCTGACCTCTGGTGAGGTGGCGCCTAGAAAATCAGCGCCATCTACTGTAGGAGGAGTTGTATGTCTATGTCAGAGATCGTAAGTGGTGTTTCCTAGTGTCCCATGTACTGATGACGTGTCTGTATCCACAGAGTCGACGTAGGGCTGCTGTGGTAGGAGGACAGTCAGTCTACCCAGGGCAGCCAATATCTCTCTACTCCATTCTGCTTTACGGAAGCAGTGAGCCGCCGCCGGAGAAGAACTGTGTAGTGTTCTACTGTCTGCCTGTGAAGTGGCAGTGACAGAATTCAGCGTACCCGGGACTGGCTAGTGGAAGAGATGACTGACAGGTGCTACGGAGGAGTGTAACCAGCGAGTTGCAAGAAGCTCCTGCCAGGGGTTCGGAACCCTTGTATTTGTACGTGAAGAGGCCCAGCAGCGCGAGGCTGATGTTCTCTGCCAGCACCAGGCTGGAGAGTGATTGTGGACGTGCACGAAGAGCACCTGGTGAGACTGTTTTGGCTGGCCCGTGGCTAGGGTAGACTCGTTGGTGTTTCCCAGTACTGGTTGAGGACGGTACAGTGTGTTGAGGAAACACGGAACTGACAAGACTGCATCGACTGATCATCGAGGAGCGCTTAATGTCCTATGAGAGAGACATTTGTGTGTATATTAAGTGTAGTAATACTTCCTTTAGGATTATATATGAGGTGATGGGAAAGTGATTATATGTGATTATATTGATAATTGATGAAGTGTCGTATTCAATGCACCTCCCCCATTGTGTTGTACTTGCAAAACTGATTAGCTATTAGTAAGAGGCCAGGCAGCAGGTATTAGGTCTTCTTAATAAGGAATACTGAAATTACATATGATAATCAAAGCGCCGTGCCTGACCTGGCAGCGTTATGTAAAAGGGTTTAAGAATCTCCACAATCCATTCTGCGACCGCTTCTCCGGCTTCGCCTTTCAGTGCATGCAAAATTCATTTCACTTTCACATCTATAATTCTGAACTATCCCAAGCTGTCGTCAGTACGCGGGCAGATATGGCTGGTTCCACACTTTTGGCGATGAAAACTTGTTGGGATTAACAAGGGGAGGATTAACGAGATTAATTGCGTTCACGTTGTTCGCAAGATTCGTCAAGGCTCGCATCAAGTTCATGTAAGTTTATTGAGATAATTAAATACATCCGAAAAGGATACAGTCGCTTAAGTTATTTATACTTTCCTTCCGTTTCTTAAAGCCGAATATATATATATTAGGTTAGGAAGTATTGGCTGTATTAGACTCCGTTGGGTTTAGTCAAGTTCGTTTGTGTTGGGTTAGGTAAGGTAAGTTTTACAATCCGTTGGCGATTCTTTTTGTGTACGATGTGTCGTGCATCATAACGAAGTTCCCTCTAGGTCAATGACTGACCGTCCCCGGGATGTAACCCACAATTGCCTAACTCTTGGGGTGCCTATTTAACAGTGGCATCAGGTGTAGAAAAACGTACCCAAATATTTCTGCTTGAGACCGACTAGAAGAGTCCAGTCGGTTGTAAGTCGACTGTGGTGGAGAGAGGTGTAAATGCCATTTGTGAAATACTTGGGAATGATGAATGAGAAAGCCGATTATCAAACGAACCGGTTGTGGTCAGAAACAGCAGTTTACAATCACTCAATCGTAAGTTTGTAAGTGGTTGGCCACTTAAAATATCGGAGACATGTGCCCGATGCCCAAGTACATAGTTGGGTATGTCAGAGAAGGAGAGTGGCTGGTGCAGTGAAAGTCATGGTCAGAAAAAACTCGGTTTTAATATATACGGTCATAGCTCTGCATGTATTTAATATCTGAATTGCAAATATCTTCATCCTGACTGGAATAAAAACAAAATTACGGCACTTTGCTCCTTACTGCTTATGATCTGTAGCCTCATGTGTCTTGAAGACCAAGAATGATCTTAGTGCCCCCATATATATTGTGTGTGTGACACCACAGTGCCATAGTGAATGGCCAGGACATGGTAAAGGACACGACACTCATCACATGCACAGTGATGGAAGGTGCAGGTGATGATTGTGGTGTCCTTTAGTTACGAACACTTGAGACCATAATCATTCCTCCCCTCAAGCAAATCTGTGTATGTATGTTTGTAGATTAGATTAGTATTTTATAAGCACTACAATCACCTTCTGTGGTTGACTGTTTAATAAATCACCGAATTATATGTTTAATAGATCCCTAACCTTGTCCATGGAGGACGCAGCAGTACTCCACTCTAGAGAGCACAAGCGTTTTGAAAAGTATCATCATCGGTATAGCATCTCTAGTGTGAAAAGTTCTTGTTATCCAACCTGTCATTTTTCTTGCAGTTGTGACGGCTACTTTATTGTGTTCTTTAAAGGTAAAGTCTTCCGACATGAGTACACCCAGATCCTTTACATTGCCTTTTCGTTCTATGTTATGATTTGCCTGAGTTTTGTACGTGGTTTCCGTTTTTATATTTTCATTTTTTCCATAGCGCATGAGCTGGAACTTATCTTCGTTAAACACCATATTATTTTCTGTAGCCCATAGAAAGACCTGATCTACATCTGACTGGAGGTTCGCCGTGTCCTCTATGTTGCCTACTCAAATGAAGATCCTAGTGTCATCTGCAAAGGATGATACAGTGCTATAGGTTGTGTTTTTGTCTATGTCCGAAATGAGGATGAGAAAAAGTACTGGAGCAAGCACAGTACTCTGGGGGACTGAGCTCTTCACAGTTGATGGGCTGGATTTTATTTTGTTGACTATTACACATTGGGTTCTGTTGGTCAGGAAATTGTAGATCCATCTGCCTATTTTTCCGGTAATTCCTTTTGAACGCATTTTATGTGCAATAACACCATGGTCACATTTATCAAAAGCTTTTGCGAAATCTGTGTAAATTACATCCGCGTTATGTTTGTCTTCCATAGCATCTAATGCCATATCATAGTGGTCCAGCAACTGCGACAGGCAAGAGCGCCCTGTTCTGAAACCATGTTGTCCGGGGTTATGGAGTTGCTGTGATTCCATGTATTTTGTGATTTTACTTTATCACTCTCTCAAAAAATTTTATGATGTGCGATGTTAGCGCTATCGGTCTGTAATTTTTTGCCTCTGCCTTATTTCCTCCTTTATGAAGTGGTGCTATCTCTGCTGTTTTTAGTATATCAGGAATAACGCCAGTATCTAGGCTTTGTCTTCACAGAATGTGGAGGGCCTGCGATAGTGGTTAGAAGAAAAATGTACATTTTCTTCTCCGCGAGCGCTTTGGCCGGGAAGGATTTACTGGGCGCGAATCCTTAACTGTAGCCTCAGTTCATCCAGTAGTAAAATGGGTACCTGGTTGTAAAACGATTTGGCGGGTCGTATTCCGGGGAAAATTAGGATTAAGGACTTGCCCGAAACGCTACGCGTGCTGGTGGCTGTACAAGAATGTAGCAACTCTTGTATAATGTATATAAATAAATAAAATATTTCCTCAGACCTCACCACCCAACTGTTCCTCACTCCTCACTTCGTGCTGGTATTACCGCATGTCGGGAAGAACTAGTCAACCTTGCTCCTCCTTTACATGGTCTAGTTCGGGACACACATGTAAGCAGGCTAGTAAATTATATTATAATTTTTATTTAAAGAATGTAACAATTATTTTTATTTTGATGACACCCACTCAGCTTGCATGAATGAAAATTGATCACGTTTTCTTAACACACCATTCGTTCAATAATCATTTACATATATAGATTGAGGAGGTAATCGGAATTATTTGTTATATTTTCCCCCCTCAAAATGGCAGGGTAGAGATAGTGTGTCATTAGCGACCGTAGGGGTCGAAGGGTGTGGCAGGTTCCTGGTAGTTGTAGCCGGCGGCGGTGGTGCTGCAGTAGGGCTGGTAGGTGGTGACGGCCGTCTTGGTGTACACCTGGTCCTTGTACACTGTCGACGTCACGTAGTTCGTGTTGTACACCACTCGTGTCTGATATTGGGTCTTTACTTGGCCAGGAAGCTGCTGGGTTTGGATAATAGTGCTATAGACGGTCTGGTATTGGGTCTGGGCGGGAAGGTATACCACAGAGGGTACCACCAGCTGGCTGTAGATGGTTGTGGGCACCACCTGTGTTGATACCTGGGTCTTCACCACTTGCTGTGGAACGGTAACGGTCCTGGTAACGTACTGCGGCACCTGTTGTGTACTGTAGTAGGTGGAGACCACCTGCTGTACCTGGGTGCGGGTCACGTACTGTGTCTGGGTGTTGGTGACCACCACCTGGGAGTAGATGGTGGTGGTGACGGGAACCACCTGGGTGGAAGTGATGTACTGGGTCTGGCCTGGCTGGGTGATGGTCTGGGTGACGACGTTGGTTCTGACTACAGTTTGTGTTTTGTAGACATCTGGACCTGGTATTACCACGGTGGAGTAGATGGTGCTGTACTGGGTATTGTAAATGGTGCGGGTCTGTCCAGGAAGCTGTTGAGTCTTGGTCACATACTGGGTCTGGTAGACTGTGCTGATTACCTGCTGAGGAACCACTAAGGTTGACACCACGTTCCTGACAATAGTTGTGGGTATTTGTTGTATCCGGGTTTCATACTGTGTCTGATACTGCACCACGGTGCTCACGACGTCCTGCGTACGGGTGACGTAGTTGACCTGAGGAGGCAGGGTGATGACCTGTGTGCGCACGTTGTCCTGGGTTCTGGTATGGATCACCGTCTCGTACTTGATGGACGGCACCACTTGGGTTCTGACCACTTCCGAGAAGACAGTGGTGTAGACCTGCTGTGTACGGTAGGAGGTCTGAGTGAGGTACCGCACGTCGTTGTTGTAGACGGTGGAAGGGACCACCACAGTGGAGTACTGTATCTGAGTGCTGTAGATGGTGGACGGCTGGCAGGGCTTGGGTGGAGGCGGCGGCAGATACCCTCCTCCTAGAGACGACTGTAAATCGATGGCGTTTCCCAGTAGTTCCCGTCGATTTCTGTGAACTGAGCTTCCCTGGGAGAGGCCCACCACCAGGCACAGAAGAAGGGCCCGCATTGTTTCTGAAGGATCATGAAACGTAGCATTAAATCATGTGGTAAAACTATAATGAAAAAGTGCATATAACATTATAAACTAATTTGACATATACTTACGTGCACATCGACGGCTGGAGCCAGCATACCATCGGGTAAAAACACAGAAAACTAGAATTACTTTTTAGATTTATTTAACTGTATTACATACAATAATAGAATTTTATCTTTTTCATGGAAACTTAAACTTATTTTTGTAATGTTTTACGATTTTTCTGATGTTGATACACTTTTAATCATGTATAACAACTGATCTTTTATATATATCGACTACTTTCCGTAGTTAAAAGGAACAGCCGGAGAGTCGTAGTTGTATCCGGTCTGGCCGCATGTGGCGGTAACGGTCCGAGTGACGACCACCTGTTGCGGTCTGTTGACGGTCTGGTAGACCACCTGTTGTTGCTGCTGTGTCTGAAGCACCTCTTTGGTCACATATCGGTCTTGACCAGGCACTTGGACCACCGAGGTCTGGTATTGTTGCTGGGTTTTGATTACGGGAGCTGGTGTGACGTATTGAGTTTTGACTACGGTCTGTACCTGAGTGTAGGGCTGAACCCTGGTCTCGTAGCGGGTAGTGTAGATGGTATTGTATATCACTTGCGTTGTCAAGACCTCCTGGGGAACCACCTGGGTCTGTATCTTGGTCTGAGTAACGTAATTGGTGTTGTAGACGACCTGCTCGCGAGTAAGGTAGTAGGTCTGGTAGCGAGTGTTGACAACAGTGTATGGGATGACCTGCTGCCGTTGAACTATGCTGGTTTTGTAGACATTCTGGCCGGGGATGACCTGTGTCTGGACTCGCTGTTCGTACTGGGTTGACGTGACGTAGCGGGTGTTACCGGGCGCCTGACGTTGGACAACGGAGGTCTGGTACTGGGTCTGGTAACGTGTCTGCACTACATCCCGGCCGGGGATGGACACCACTTGAGTTTGTTGCTGTACCTTCGTTTCGTAGTTGACTACTGGCTGGTATATGGTCTGGACCTGCGTGCGAGTGACCTCCACCGGCACCACCTGTGTTTGAACCTGTGTACGAGTCACGTAATTAACCTGTGGTACTACGCGAGTGGAGGTAACGTACACTGTCTTGTAAACGGGCGGGCTTGGGACGGTTTGTGTTACTATTCTGTCAATGTAACGATCAGATGTCTGCTGAATCACGCTGGTTTGGTACTGGACCTGAGTGACGAGGCGAGTCTGGTAGAATGTGGTGGGAATTACTTGCTCTTGAACCAGAGTTGTGGTTACATACTGCGTGTTGACTTGGTTGACGGTCTGTACGTAGACTGAGGTCTGATAGCGGGTGTCGTACACGACCGACGACACGGGAGGACAGTAGGGTGGCGGGGGTGGCGGCGGCAGGTAGCCTCCCTGAGGAGTGGCCGAGGCCAGGGCCGCCACCAGCAGCGTCGCCGTCAAACGCCACATCCTGCAAAGAGAAATGCCACAGGTTAGAGCAGCGGTGATTGGAACCCCCCGCGTCTCGGCAACTCATTTGGGAATAAAGTCCAATCACGCGCCGCTCCCTCTGTGCAATTTCTCTATGCTTTGTGGGCTGACCCGAGAGGACTTTATCGCCCAGATGAGCCGCGAGGCGCTGACCTGGTGGTTGCTTGCTTGCTTGCTCAAGAGCACTTTTACCTGACGCAATCTGCGCCTCTCCTGTGTGAATGGAACGCCAGCCTCCACGACTGGCACTTTCAATCACATATGCTTATTCCTTACTTTCTCTTTTATGCTGCAATCTTTCTTAAACCAAGTAGTGAAACTACTTTAAATTCTATTTAACATAATTTGCTCTAAAACTGTTCGTGGATTTAGAGTAATCTAAAAAAAAGAGAAAAAAAGAAAGGGGAATGTTGTTATTTTACTCTAACATGACTCGTGTGGGGATAGCTTTCGTGTGACCCTAACTTCAGACAATGCTTCCTGTAGTTCACTGTCTGCGCCTCAGGGGGTGTGAGGGGAGCGTGATTGGACGGGGGGTTGGAGGGGGGAGATGCACACAAGAAAGAATTTCCGGAGTGGGGTGACGAAGCACAATAGCGTACAGTAGCCTAGAGAGTTCTAGCCTATATTGCTGTAGCTTGGGGGACCAGAGCCTAGGAAGCTGTAGCATAAGTAACTTATAGCCTCGGTGAATGGGTTCAAGTTCATGTGAGACAGTTTCTTGGAGGGGGATTGGTGCTCGGGCATGTGTGTGTATTTTCTATTTATGTCTGAAGAATCGAGCTATTAGCTCTTAGACCTCGCTTTTCTAACTAATCTATTTTTCCTCAATTTATCTACTCTTTTTTTTAACACGAACACACACATATTTTCAGGAAGCAGCACGTAGCAGCTGTCTAATTCTCAGGTACCCATTTACTGCTAGGTGAAAGGGGGAAAAGAAACTCTGCCCATTTGTGTCCGCCTTGGCCGGGAATCGAACCCGGGCCCTAAGGACTTCGACCCTCTTCCACTGCACCACTCAGCTGCGAGGCCCCTGTGTGTGTGTGTGTGTGTGTGTGTGTGTGTGTGTGTGTGTGTGTGTGTGTGTGTGTGTGTGTGTGTGTGTGTGTGTGTGTGTGTGTGTGTGAAGAGTGGTGACCAGTGTTGACCAGACCACACACTAGAAGGTGAAGGGACGACGACGTTTCGGTCCGTCCTGGACCATTCTCAAGTCTAAACATACTTTAGCCACGTTATTGTGACTCATCGCCTGATGACCAGTGTGGCTAACGGAGTAATCTGCGTGCGGGTCTGTGTGGTAACGATACTTGGACAAATTAGCGCAGGCTGCAATTATGAGTTAACTAGATGGAAGAACCGACAAAATCATGATAAAAAATGCTGAAGGACATAGTCACGCAGAGGTGAGGATCAGCAGAGTCGCGAGTAGTCTGAGGAATATCATGCGTTAATGGAAGTGAAGATTCTTGATAAGAGTGAAGAATATCTCAAGATGGAGATTGACTAACTTGGCCAGTATTGCGTTGCCAGTTGCCTGTCTAGCTCACCCACGACTGGTGCCGATTACAGACCCAGTTCAACCCCGCCTGTACCCGAGTACAAAGCTGACTCGCCCACTTCTGGGTCAGATGTGCCTATGGGTATAGACCCGGCTCAACCTAATGTTGAGTGAGTGGCGTAAGCCGTCAGGAAATGAGAGATAGGATTGTTGATCAAGTAATGATGAACTGAGCAGTCGTTGCCCGACAGTTCGAAGAGGGCAATACTCTGATAACGACGTGATGGTTAAAAAATTGAGATTGGTAAGAGAGGAGTGACTTAATCACACTTTGCAAGACAAAGTGGTAGTCAGATCTGGGAAGACAAAGTGGTAGTCAGATCTGGGAAGACAAAGTGGTAATCAGATCTGGGAAGATAAAGTCAGACAACAGCGGTAGAAAAAGATGAAGAGTGAAAGATGACACAAGAAGAGGTTACGAAAGATATAATTGCCTGAACGCTGGAATTACCTGGACATTTAAAGAGCGGAACAGCGCAAACTTTATAGATAATCTTAACACACTCAAACCAACACTTTCTGTATTTCAACAGTGAGATCCGGAAGGAAAGTTAGGAGTCATGTCGAGAAATGAGTCAGGATCACCTCATTATGTACTGATTGGTGTATCAGTCATGTCTAGAGGCGAGGCGAAGGACAGTGCCCTTCGCCCATACTTAACGCATTTAACGTAATTTTCTCCATTTTTGGTGGGTGGGTGGGGGGGGGGGGGTGGAGTATTCCTATATGTATAATTTGTTAAAATATTTAATATTTGTATGTCGGGTAAATACTTGCTGATTTATACGCAGCTAGGTTGGGCGTTAGCTCCAGGGTTCTGTTTCCACACCTTCACAACCTTGTGTGTATATGCGTATTCACTTATTTGTGAATAGGTGAAAGCAGGATCGAGCTTTCAGCTCCTGGACCCTGCCTTTCCAGCCGCAGGTTGTGTTATGTAATGACTCGACCTATTTGCTCTTTCATCAGTACTAGTTCCAACTACTGACCTTTCCCAGATTGCAGAACACAATAGCTGTCTAATTCCTAGGTACCTATAAACTCCTAGATGAACAGGCATCAGGTGAAAGGAAACATCGCCCAAACGCTTCTGTCCTGTTACGGGGATCGATCTCGCGATCCTTGGTTTTGAGCCCACGACGTAGTCCACTGCACTACAGTGTATGTATGTTTATGCGTGCGTGCGTGCAACAGCATTCGCCCCGGGGCAAGGACGTCTCAGCCCTGTTGCCTAGACAGTCCACTGGACAGTTTCCCGCGGCGTACCTGTGTCAGCAACCCCAGCTTGGCGCTCCATACACCTTGGCATATAGTACCTTACCCGCTACACCACACTGACTGACTGGATAAGTGAGTCACTCGAGCACAGAAGAACTAGGTAATATTTCTTGCATAGGTAATAGGTAATATATATATTCCATTGGAGACTTTCGGCGCCGTGGAGAGGGGGGACCTGCTGCATGGGTAACAGCTTCTCCGTATCAACCTACCCTGGCTTTGCACCCTGGAGCCTTGGAGAGGCCACTCCAGACCGACAACCAGAGCGCAACTCCGTAGTCCCCTGAGATTGATGGATGCCTACTACTGTATATATATACTGGAGCACAGGAGAAATAGGCAATATACGCCCTGAGTCATAACAACTGTTTACCACACTAGTGTGGATGTAACATGTCATTCAGTTATATGACTCTGAGCGTGGATAACCTAATTCCCCTGTGCTCAAGAGGCAGCCACGGGGATGACAAGTTCCATTGGCTAGTAGTTATTTGCCTTAGAATTTCTCCCTTACAAGGCTAGCTCAATAATGCAGTTGATAGAGCGTATGTTTTCCATGCTGGTGGTTGGGTGGTCGAGGCTCCTAGTACCAAAGGTGAATGAAATACAAAGACACCACACACACACACACACACACACACACACACACACACACACACACACACACACACACACACACACACACACACACACGCACGCACAGAATGACTACAGTGAAATTGAAAAACAAACAGCTTGAGCGCTTACGACTCGTGCTTTCAAGTCATCTTCAGTAGCTGCACTAGCAGCTACTGAAGATGACTTGAAAACATGAGTCGAAGCACATTTAGCTGTAATTTTTTCCAATTTCACTGTGGTCATTTTGCATACTGTAGATCAGTGTTTGTGATCATTGTGGCGTGTGCGCGCGCGCGCATTCACTAAAGACACATCCGTTGGATGTTATCAGTGCTGGTCCAATTCTTTCCGGTGAGCTCCGTATCCACAGGGTGAGCGTCTGTAGCTGTTCCACGCACTATAAAGCCAACATGTATATATTCACTTATTTGTATCGCCAAAACTTTCCTCTGGTACTCGGTCAATAGAACTTTGTCTTTTTCACACACTTCTCAATTCAAAACAGAAGCCCTCAGTAGCGTCTTGAGGACATCACCGATGGTGTACGAGCTTCCTCCAGGGCTGCTCCTTCTCGTGTCTCGAGGAGCACCTTGGAGGACGAGGAGCACCGTGGAGGACGAGAGCGAACACACAGTCGAGCACCCACCTTTGTATTGAGATAAGCTGGGCAGAAGCGAGCACGAAGAGTGGCTCAGGCAGTGTGCCGTGTATGACCCGTTCACCATTATATATAGCGGCCACGTCTGGAGAAGGGAAGGGCTGCGGGGCCAGGAGGGGGGGGGGGGAGGAAGATGAGGAAAAGAAAACCTAGCGAGTGAGAGGGGGGGGAGGGGGGGGGCTTTGGGAGATTGGCAAAGGTGCTGGGTCACTGAAATAGGCCTAGCAACTCTAGGCCTATTTCACACTATTTTGTGACTAAAATAGCATATATGTGAGCTATACTAGGCCTAGGGGACACTAAAAAAGCCCCGAAATCATCTCAAGAATCTCAAGATAGGAAAGTTTAGGTTTGGCTTTTGTTTTTGTCGTGTCTGCTACAATATTAATGATACAGAACGTGAACCACTGAACATCGTCGGCTTCAACAGTCCACTTCCATACATTCGATCACTAAGTTTTCCCCATGTTCCCTCCCCCCTTTTTTCATTTTTCAACACAATTTATTCTTTAATATCAGTTATTATTAGGTTTTTAGTCTAAGTGTTTTTTTTTTCCCACATCTTGCCCGAAACGCTGTACGTATTAGTGGCTTTAGGTATTGTATGTATTAGCTCTATGTATAAATCCAACATTATGTTTGTAAATCATCTTCTATGTATGTACTTTTACCTGAATACAAATTTGAATTTAAATTGAATTTGAAGTTATTGTTGGTACTATCATTGTTGTGGGTTGAGTTATTTGCTAAGCAGAACTTTGAGACTAGTATTCTGATTTAAATAGTTATTCACAGCTGTTCCCACTGATAAATGGCTACTGATTGGTTACCACTGAAAGGTAGTCACTGATAGACAGCCGATAATAGGTAAGCATTGATAGGTAGTCACTGATAGACAGCTGATAATAGGTAAGCATTGATAGGTAGTCACTGATAGACAGCTGATAATAGGTAAGCATTGATAGGTAGTTACTGATAGGCAGCCGATGATAGGTAGTCACTGATAAACACAGATAGATAGATAGAGGATAGATAGGAGGATAAGAAGATAGAAGGATAGAAGCACAAACCAGTGAATCTGTACGATGGTACAACATGGTTGCAGCTGGCAATCCCAATCATTATGGCCGAAGAGGAGGAGGACGAGGGAGAGAATCAGTAATAGCGAGAATCCGGCTTGGATACAAATATCCATGGAGATATTGAATGGAAACAACAGTTGATCAGCGAAGTTGCAGAATCTGTGGTGAGAGTGACACCGCCTTGAACACTATCTGCGTGAATGTGAACATCTGAGAGAAATCAGAATTATGTGTAGAATAATAAACCCCACATTGTTTGAGTTAGGAAAACACTATTTGTTAAATATTAATACTGTTCTAAGATTCCCCCATTTTGCACCCGCTAGATAACGTAAGCTTTTAAGAGTTGATAGATGTTAATCTTCTTGTTTGAGGAGCTGTTCACTTGAGACAGTTAAGCAAGTACCAGCTGTGTCTGGGTTTATCTTGAGATGATTTCGAGGCTTTAGTGTCCCCGCGGCCCGGTTCTCGACCAGGCCTCCACCCCCAGGAAGCAGCCCGTGACAGCTGACTAACACCAAGGTACCTATTTACTGCTAGGTAACAGGGCATAGGGTGAAAGAAACTCTGCCCATTGTTTCTCGCCGGCGCTCGGGATCGAACCCGGGACCACAGGATCACAGTCCAGCGTGCTGTCCGCTCGGCCAACCGGCTCGACCGGACCGACCGGTACAAGTGACAGGATGAACAACCCAGCAGGTTTTCTTCCTTTGGGGAGTGTTGTACATGCTGCTATGGCGGTATGTCCACTCACAAGATGAGTGTCGCTGCCCAATAAACTCGCCCCTCGGGGCAAAATTAAAATTATTACTTAGGTACGTTTTCTTTGGTGTTTGCAAGGTAAAACTGCACTATTTATGTGCACTTAATTACCGCAATAATTTATTATATGTTTTATAGTTTTAGGCTGAAGGCTTATTAACGATTGAAGGCCTAATACGAGGATTGTTTAATTTGCCTCCATCAATATCAATTGCTCGTCCTATTAGACCCCTCGTAACAATCCTACGCTTGTCCCCGTGGCGCAGTGCTAAAGCACTCGTCCGGCGCTTCACGAACAAATTGGCCTGGGTTCGTATCCTGGCTGGGGAGGATTGACTGGACACCAATCCTTAACTGTATGCCTGTGTTCACCCTGCAGTGAATGGGTACCTGGTTGTTAAACGTTTTGACGGGTCGTATTCCGGGAAAAATTAGGATTAAGGACCTGCCCGAAACGCTGTGCGTGCTGGTGGCTGTACAAGAATGTAAGAACTCTTGTATGTGTATATATATATATATATATATATATATATATATATATATATATATATATATATATATATATAAAATATGTGCACTAACTTGCTTAAACTCGCAAGTTTGAAGTTAAACAACTTTAGACAACAACCCCCACCAGGAGATTCAAACCCTAGCCAGCACAGATGCTTCACAACACCTGGCATAGCTGGTACGCCTTTAACCCACTACACCACACTCAGACCCTTAAAAGAGATGGAAATTTCGGGGTATTTAACCCCCTCCAAATATCCCTACCTCCCAAGGGCACTAGAGCAAGTGAGAGGTCGCTGACGTTTTTCATCAAGCTCCTGTTAATATAGGAGAACACTGTGTCTGGTCTCCAGGCGCATATGCAACTGAAAACTCACACCCCAGAAGTGACTCGAACCCATATTGCCAGAAGCACTATGCAACTGGTGTACAGGACACCTTCACTACTCGACCATCGATCATTTGGGCGTTTTTGGCTGTTGTCAGGTCTGCACAACTGAGGTTCCCTTTGTGGTGGACACCTAGCTGTAGCCAAACTTCTTTTGAAGATGGACGTTATGCAAAGGAACTTTTTAACGCAACATGTGAAAGAAACGAGAGAGCGGAGATGATACACCTTGTCTATTGGACCTGATCGTTACCCAGAATGAGGAAGACATCGAAAACTTGGAGCATGAAATACCAGTAGGAGTCGCGGAAAGGGAAGTCGACTACAGAAAAGGGAATTACATGAGAGTAATAGAGTATCTGGATAAAGCACAGTGGGAGAATTTTGATAGAAGACAGTCCAAGAAATGATGAATCAAGTCAGACGGAGATGGAAAGAACCCGAAAAGAGGCACCAGCAATAATGGGGAAAATATTTGAGTGAAATGTAACGTACCAATGACAAGATATTGTAAGATATTGATGGCAAGATATTGTAACATGCCAATGGTTCAATGGACAATGACAAGAAGCTAAAATAAAAAGCAGGAGGAAATGGAGAAATACAGAGGACAGAGTTGAGAAGAAAACTCGGATATATGTACGTAATACATACAAGAATATATAAACATGAGAGTATTTGAAAAAAATATAGAAATGACAATCCATCCAACAAGCGTAATTAGTTTATAGTTATACATGAAGAAAGAGGATTGTTAATGACAGTGACTAGACTGCACAAGAAAGGAAGAATCCAGGAAATGATAAGGAAATTTGTAAGGAACTAAATGCCAGTTGTTCATGGTGTGTTCAATATTGAGTCGGGTCACCTTCTAGTGCTAAGAGAGGAGGTAGCCCTAATGAAAGAATGGTAGATATTGCGATAACAGCAGAAGAAATTAGATAACTTTCAGAAATAAAGAGAAAGAGTTCAAAAGGCGTGACGCTGAACAGTGAAACTCACGTCTCCAAGACTAAGATGAAACTGAAGCTATTGGACCCAACGGTGCATCACAATGGATGTTAAAAGAAACTACACAGGCCCCTCAAAATACCCCTTGCTCCGGTGCTTAATGATTTAATTGCGAAGGCAGATTTGCCAAGCTGCTGGAAGATTCCAAATGTGGTACCAATATACAAGAAAGAAATAGCGATTAGGCACTGAGCCTTAGCAGGAGGAACCAGCATCACTGACAAGCATCCCATGCAATGTTCTCGAAATAATTATTAGTAATAAGACTTGTAAAACACTTAGACATGATAACGTTTGCAAATAAGCAGCACCATGGCTGTAGGGAAGTAAAATGACACCTAGCGAACATATTGGAATTATTTGATAAAGTAACCAAAATAGAATTCTATTTTATATTCTTTGTTTGATCCTGTTTTCTAAGGTGTTTTCTAAGGCTGGTAAGTTAGTTCCATTCTTAAATTCATATGGACGCGTCCATATAGGTGCTCCCATCTTTGTACTGAGAGCATCATTATGTGACACGGAGTTTCTCCCATAGGTTATCACTGAGGGATGTAAGAGCAGGAGCTGACACTGACTTTGTCCTTGAACTTATAAGTTAGTTATACGCTTGATGGTTATACTGTGGTTATACCTGTGGTTATACGCTTGACTGTCAGCACCTTACACCTCTCTCAAAATTTGGGTTATTTTTTAATTCAACGTAAATTTTCCCAGACTACCAGCAGGCCTTAACCTCAAACACTTCAGGACGCATTATTACTGCAGTGTGTCTACTCACCTAGTTGTTCTTGCGGGGGTTGAGCTGCTTCTCTTTGGTCCCGCCTCTCAGCTCTCAATCAACTGGTGTACAGATTCTTGAGCCTACTAGGCCCTATCAAATCTACATTTTAAACTGTGCATGGAGTCTGCCTCCACCACATCACTGCTTAATGCATTCCATTTGTTAACTACTCTGACACTGAACAAATTTTTTCTAATGTCTCTGTGGCTCATTTGGGTACTAAGTTTCCACCGTGTCCCCTTGTTCTCGTTCACCCCGTGCTAAATAGTCTGTCCACTCTTTTAATTCACCTGAGGATTTTGTAAGTGGTTATCATGTTTCCTCTTACTCTCTGTCTTGCAGGGACGTGAGGTTTAGCTCCCGTAGCCTTTCCTCGTAGCTCATACCTCTCAATTCTGGGACTATAGTCTGGTGGCATATCTCTGAATCTTCTCTAACGTTGTCTGGTGTTTAACTAGATATGGACTCCAGACTGCCGCTGCATACTCCAAGATTGGTCTGACAT